GTACGAGACAAAAAAAAGTGTCCAAGATAGCACAATCTTGTCTAAACAAGAGAGAGAGAAATGTTTACCACGCTCTCGAATGTGAAAAAGCACTTCATCTACATGCTAAGAATCTAATGTGTATTAGATTAGTGAATATCATGCTTTTTAAAAGTAAAATATTGAACAATTTTTTTTTTAAATAGTTTACCTGACTAGAACGCCATCTATCGTTGAGAAGTTGATTAAAAAAGACTTTATCTGCTTGACCACCAGAGGACAACTCAACACTACATAAAAAATCAATACATTAAACAAAGACATACAACCTTATATACTACAATAAGTAGCCGATAATTAACTTAATACAATTACATACCTTTCAGTGGAGCTCGACAACCACGTTTGGAAATCTTCAAGTTTAGCTGGATCCACTGGCCTATAAGGGTTGTACTCCGTCACAGTTGGAAATTTTTTTTCTTTTTTCAATATTCCTAAACGGAGTACATAGAACGGCGACCTTTCTTTTCTTCTGGTGCCCTCTCCCATTAGAAGACTCAAGTGGATCGTCTACAACGATTTTCTCTATCTCCATTGGTGTCGGCAGTTGTCTCTCTTGGTACACAACAATGGCTGATGGCGGTCGGTCACAAAACCTACAATAAGCAAAAAAACAAACAATACCCATTTATTTACAAGAATGCACCACCAAATTACGTAGTAGTTACAATTATACTTTACATACCCGCATCATCATTAAGTCCAGCCATTTCTTGCTGGGGCATCGGAGATGGTGATTTCACCGTGTCTGCAAAAGAGAAAAAAAAATAAGTGATTCAATAACATGTCGCATTTGTTTTAAAATATTACAATTATACTTTACAATTCTATTTATTTTTTTAATAATCGAGTAACAACATTAATATGATGCATTTATTTTAAAAAAATACCTTCAACACCATCTACACTTCGAGCGGTCTCCGTATCCTGCATATTAATCTCCGGATCAACCTCTTCATCAACATTTGTCTCGTCATAGGTAGCACGGGTAGATGGGCCATCTTTTGCTTGAAAAACTAATTTTTCTATTCGGTCAAAAAAATTGTTCATCTTCATCTCCATATTCATCTCCATTCGCTCCATCTTCATCTCCATCTTCATCTCCATTCGCTCAGAAAATATTCTCATCTCGTCCTTCACAACTTCCGTCACAACTTCCCTGACTATAGTTCGAATATTTTCAGTATCCAAAACTTGTAGTTGTGGTGGATCTGATTGAGATGCATCATTTTTTTCTTCTTCCTTTTGCTCCTCTTCTTCATCATCCTCATCCTCATCCTCATCCTCATCCTCATCCTCATCCTCGTCCTCGTCCTCATCCTCATTTTTTTTTCTTCTTCTTATTCTTCTTCCTCATCTTTAGGGACAATTTCTTCTTCCTCTGTTATACCGAATTCCTTCAAGTATGAAGTTTCAACTTCATCACTTGAGGGTTGTAACGTTCGTCGAACATTAACCTGATTGTAGTGTAATTAGTTTTTTCACAACTATAAGAATAAATAAGATAAATTATTCATAACCAAAATTACCTCTAACGTGTTGAAAAACATACTAATTTGCTCGCTTCACCACTGCTTACCCATTTTCCAAGACATCATTCTCGGAAGTCTGCCACTACCATAAGTTTGAGCAATTTTTCTTCCAAACTCAGGCATTGCCTCAAATGCCCAAACCTACATAGCAAACAACAAAACAAAATTAAGAATACAACTAACATAAATAAATAAAAAAGAGCATAAATAAAAATGAGAACAAAATTAAGAAAAATACCATGATAGCGAGGGGAAATCCATGCAGAGAATACTTTATCGCATATGTATTTTTTTAATACCGAAAGTCTTCCGTTTGAACAACTTTACACTGTACTCATACGGCAAGTTCCCCTAAGGATAGCTATTAAATTATTCCAAATCTTCAACGAGATGAAACCATTTTTCATCCACAAGAGTCCGACACTCGTTAGACAACACCGCATACTCGAGGACGATGAGAAGCCCCAATTTGTACTTCAAATCTACATCTTCTTTCTGTAAAAAACCATCAAATTGCTCGAGCAATTCTTTCTTCATTATATTCCCTTTCTTCTATTTGAATAAATCTAAAAGTGAACTGCTTCTTTTGGGGACCTCGTAAGAAGCCACATCATCCACAATCTTTAAACCGCTTACAAGAGAGAATTCTTGTAAACCGAATCTGGCTTCCTTTTCTCCAAATTTGAACCACACGACATCTTTATCATTGTCGGGTGATTTCAAGGTCCTCTGAACAAGGTGGTGGATTATTTGAGACGAAAATTTCAACTCAGGAATGTGCACTAGTTGTCGGAAGCAAGATTCCACAAATAAATCTTGATATTCATCATCTAGATTCTTAAATACATGCTCGACAACCTTGAGGTGGCACCTATTGGTCACGACTCCAGAGCATGTAGGAGGTATATCGAAAGCATACTCCATTTCGGTTCCTAAAAGCATAGAATAAAGACAACATGTCATAAAACGATAATTGTGTAGTAAAAAATTCAATAACAATATTAAGAAGTACGACATCAATCATAAATTACAACAACCACATGCACATTATTAAGAAATTAAGAAGTACAACACACGTTATATTTTGAAATTAAGTACAACATTCGTATAAGTAGTTGGTTTTAATTTAATACATAAGAATGTACATTCGTTATTTCATACACCATAACAAATGAATCTTCATTATAGTTTATTTTCATCTCGGTCAATTAAATACACCTATACATTCACAATATAATACTATATGACGATATTTTACTCGTTAAAGTTATAAGTTAAACTCATTTCTAAAGGATACTAATAAAACGATTCTTTATTCTATATCGAGCTTCTTTTATTCTTTGAACTTAACAACCATAAAGCATGCCAATTTACCCATTTTTTAATATTTTAAACAAAGACGATTTAAGATAAAGGAACATTTTGGATACTAGGTTCTAAAAGCCACAACAAATCATTAACACAACATAGAGTCAAGGCAAAAACCCATTCCTTCTCTTTTCTTAACATAGAGTCAACATAAAATTACGATCTTCACTTCATCAACTCAATCCTACAACCATTTCATAAAACACATAGAGTTTACCTTACAAACATTTCAACTTAAATCCATGTAAACAAAATAAAAAAAAAAACAAAAAAAAACAAAAAAAAATGTCCCGCGACAGCCTTGGAGTCGCGGGCGCGAGGGGGCCGCGACAGCCTTCAGACAGCCTTCGCGGGCGCGAGGGGGCCGCGCCCGCGTCAATTAGCTATGTCGCGCCAGCGACACTCGTCGAGCCCGCGACGACATGGAATCAACTTACACTCATCTTTATTTTTTGTTTCTCAAATCACAACATACTAAAGGCTTTATAAATGACCTTAGTCTCTAAAAATGCACATTTTCAGCATGCTTGTCATCACCATTAAGTTTAGCAACCAACATGTAACAAATGGGGCCAAACAAAAATTATAGCCAACACCTTTCTTTTCTACTTATCTTCTGAAGCATCAAACAAAGCATACAAGGCTTTAAGGACTGGTTTTAAAACTCTGAAAATAACCACGAATTCAGCATGTAAAACACATCTCACAACCTCAACAGTCACAACAGCACGACCAACCAAGGTTCAACATTTAATCGCAAAACCCAACAATTTTCTTTTTCTAAATCTTTTCCTTAAACCTTTTTTTATCATCAATAAGGCTACATAACTGGTCCTTAAATCTCTAAAATTACCCAACTTTTGGAAACTAAAACACAACATAACTTGTCTTCAAGATATCTTAACAATTCAAAGAATTCATCACAATGTAAATTCGTTATATATTATTTTATATTACTAACATATAATTCATCACAATGTAAATCCTAAGTCGATATTAGTCTTTAAAAGGGTATTAATCTCAGCAAATCTCGTTAAATATTACTATAAAATGAGAATATAGTCATTCCCAAAATTTCTATAACGAATGTACATTCGTTATATATATTACATTACAAACATATAAGTCTCATTATTTTCAATTCATCAACTCAATCCTACAACCATTTCATCAAACACATAGAGTGCATCAAATTTACCATCTTATGAGCATCTCATCAAACACATAGAGGGCACCAATTCACCAACCAAATCCTACAAATATTTCAACCATTAACCTCACTTTCACCATGCACAACACATATTAAACATTCAAAAAAGTAATTAATAACAGAAATGGCTCAACAACATTATAATCTTAACACAAAAAAATACAAAAACTGAAAAAAAAAACAAAAATATTGTACCCTAAACAAGAATTCCTACCAGAATTGGCAGCAAGAGATAGTTCCATAGTGACCGGCGCGAGAAGGAAGGTCGAGAGAGCAGGTTTGTTGCGAGAGAGATCGAGAGAGAGAACAGAGAGAGCGGTCGAGAGAGAGAGACGAAACAACGAGAAAATAATGAGGGAAAACGAAGAAGAAGAAAATGAGTGTTTGGCCTTAAGGGTATAATAGTAATTTGATATTTAATATCATTACTTATTAAATTTTAAACTAGTGTTTGACTTAGGGTATGTTTGGTAAGCCAAAGAAGCTAGCTTATAGCTTATTTAGTTAGCTTATAAGCTTTCTGTTTAAAATAAATCTCGTTTGGTAGGACAAGCTTTTTTAAAAAGCTCGAGCTTATTTCATAAGATACTTTAGGTAGCTTTTCAAATAAGCTATCTTATCAGCTAATTTACCAAACATCTTTTATCATATAAGCTAGCTTTTCAACTAGAAGTCATAAGCTATAAGCTATAAGCTCAAAAATTACATATAAGCTATAAAATAGCTTATCAACTATCAGCTAGTTTTATAAAAAATATGCGGACGAATTTCCACCCGATTATCCTTCCGTATACAGGTAAGGCCCGTCTTTGCGTGTGTGAAGTGTGCTTAGTGCGCTAGCCAAGAGAAAGATGGAAGCTTTACTCTGTAGAAATCTGGGCGACCCGACAGCACCGCCGGACGGCGCGTCGGAGTCGGCCTTGACAGTTTCCACGACTCACCCGATCCCCCAACTCAAGACGCCGACGGCGGTCCGAATCAGAGTCAGAGCGACCAGCTTGAACTTCGCGAATTACCTCCAGATCCTCGGCAAGTACCAAGAGAAGCCGACGCTACCCTTCATCCCTGGATCCGATTACTCCGGCACCGTCGACTCCGTGGGCCCTGGAGTTACCAGATTCAAGGTTGGGGATCCGGTTTGCTCCTTCGCCGCCACTGGATCATTCGCCCAATTTATGGTCGCTGATGAATCCGAGCTGTGAGCATTTTTAATCCAACTCATGTGATATGTGTTCTGTTCTGCGTTTGAGTACTTCTTTTGGTTCTCTATGCGTGTGCGCGATCTGAATCGGTCAATTGGATGGTAATTACCTCGGTTGGACTTAGTGAACAAAAAAGGAAAATAAAATAAAGTAAAATTGATGGTGGCCGCTGGTTTCATAAAAATGAATTGCAAGAGATACTAATAGATAACTAAATTTCTTACCTAGAAATTATTTAACAACAGAAGGGCCTTTATTAAGAGTGTGATATGATTTTTCTATTTGAAACTCATTTCTTGTCGTAGGTTGTTTCTAGTATTTCCTAAGCATTATATATTTCCTATCAACTGATGTACCTTCTGTGCGTTAGCACGAAATGGACAAATGCATCAAAATTCAATGCTTAGGTAGGTGAAGTTTTCTTCATAAAATGTGACAATGCTTTTTTTTTTTTTTCTTCCCTGTAGTCTTAACTTATAAATGGAGAACACCAATTTCAGGTTTCTAGTGCCTGAAGGATGCGACCTGGTTGCAGCTGGTGGACTTCCAGTTGCATACGGCACGTCACATGTCGGTCTTGTTCATAGAGCAAAACTGCAGGCTGGTCAGGTAAACAGGGAAATTCGTGAATTGTTTATCGAGAAGAGATATATTATGAATTTTTGGAGAAATTATTTGTGTGAATTATGCAATTAAATATGGTAGTTTTGGGGTATGTTAAATGTAGGTGTTGCTGGTTCTTGGTGCAGCTGGTGGAGTTGGAGTTTCTGCTGTTCAAATTGGCAAGGTCTGTGGTGCCGTTGTTATTGCTGTTGCTAGGTACCTAAAATACTCATTATAAACATTGCAATGACTCGAAATAGCCAAAATTATCTTTCCAATTGGGATCAAATTACAAAACTACCCATGCAGTAAAGTCTCATTACACACATAGCCACTTGACTATACATTGGGGTTCTGTCCATCTTTTAACATAATTCGGTTTTCTATGGTAACTAGGCTAAACCACAGGGGTAATGCTTGTAGAGTTGTAGTTTACGCTTCCAAATTTTAGAACAATGTGGCTTAACTGTTAACAAGGGCATCTTTGATTTTACTTGTGAAAACTTGTACGACAATAATTCAGTGTTCAGTCCCCATCTGGCAGGGGAGTTGAGAAGGTGCAATTTCTGAAGTCGTTGGGTGTGGATCACATTGTGGATGTGAGCAATGAGAACATCACTGAAAGTGTTAACGGGTTTCTGAAATCCAAAAGGTTGAAAGGAGTTGACGTTTTGTATGATCCAGTTGGTGGCAAGCTTACGAAAGAGGCGCTCAAGTTGTTGAATTGGGGAGCACAAATCTTGGTTATAGGGTTTGCAAGTGGAGAAATGCCTGTAATCCCACCTAATATTGCTCTAGTTAAGGTACAAACCTCAGAAGGTTAAGGTTTGCTGAAGCATTGAAAAATAAAAAAATTAGATCTTCTACTATTAATACTGATCAGTTATTTACTGCCTGCTATTATGTGCTACCAACTCAAGAATATTTGTAAGAAGCTAGCTGCAGTTACATATTGTACTAAATATCTATACAACCCTAGTTGAAATACAAATATGCTTGGATAGATACCTACCTTAATTTTGTTTTCTGTCAATATATGCGTTTTATGACATAAAACAAATTTTGTTTTACTTTCCTTTTTCTGTAGAACTGGACAGTTCATGGACTATACTGGGGAAGTTACAAAATACATCAGCCGCATGTTCTAAGAAATTCACTGAAGGAACTGCTATCTTGGTTGGCGAGTGGCTTAATCACCGTCAAGGTTTCCCATACTTTTAATCTATATGAGGTGAGTATATAAATATTTATGTTCAAAAAAATACATCACCAATGTGTGCAAGCCACATAAGCGGTGGGCATATTAACGCGTGCCCACCGTGGGTAGGCAACATTACCGTATATATATATATATATATATATGCGAATACATTGATATAAAAAATATGTATTTTCTACGCATGCTGCATGCTGGTTACTGTACATTGTTCACTATTTGTCTCAGAGCTTTCAACTATGTCCGTTCCATATTTTTCTTAAAATTCAGATATTAACGGTCGTTATAGGCGCTCGGTTAGGCAGTCATACAGCTATTCACGCCTAGGCGGGCTGGGCTTCCTAGGGGGAGACCTAGGCAGTCTTGGCGGTGTGTAGGCGCCCATATTTTTTTCTTCAATTTTTTTTTTTGTTTAATGTTTAAAAAAAATAAAAACAATTTTATTTTTTATGCATGAAATTTATATTAGGTATATAATATAAATATTAATAATTATTTCACAATTAATACAATAATTTATAAATGCACTATATTTTGCATACTTTGTATTTGACCATATTAATTAATATATTTTATATAATATATAAATTCTGAATGGAAAATTTAAATAAATTTATTAATATTTTCTTGTTGAAAATTCTAGAATGCATTCACATGTGAGTGAATTGACAATTGGTACACTTCATTTAATTTCGACAGTCGAATCTTGCTTTTATGGCGCTCAAGGATCGAAAAGCAATCGGAAAGGTTTTGATTGTCTTCAATGATATAAGAACAAAGCTTTAAGTTGGAGGGCTCAAATATGACTTGGGTAATGTTGATAGCCTCTTGTGTGATTCTAAGCTCCATTTGTTGTGTTGTTGGTCATTCGGACAATGTTTGTCAATAAGTAAGGCTAATGTGATGGGATGCGCTCGGACATTTGAGATTTATTCGAAAATAAGTATATGCAATGAATGATATATGAAAGAACACGTTTCCGACTTTTCAGCTTCTCTAGTTAATTGATATTTGGATATTATTTGATGCATTTACCTTGCTCTCATACCAACTAGTATTCGAACTATGCATGTGGACAAATGCAAACAAAATTTTCATATCATATATAAATGCAGTGTCTTTTTTTTTTTTTTCTTTCCAACATCAAACAAGCCATATCATAAAACGCATTCATAAGGTCTTTTACAACGGGTACTCAAATGAGCATAAGATACATAGCAACCCACACAAATGGACAAACTACAAGCCATGAGAAACCAGCATTAGGTCCTCTTACAAGCCTCCGGGGCCAAACATAAAGAAGATGAACAAGCAAACTTATCAAATAAAAAATTACAGGAATTGAAAGTCCGAGTAAAAAAACAATATCAGATACAATAGGCATCACTCCCCAGTGAGCCTCTTTCTTCTGGTCCAACAATTGAATATGATCAGAGTTCACTCTACAACATAGTGAGGATGAGTAGCCTACCTGCTGAAGTAGCTTCAGTCCCCATCTTACTGCCTTGAGAGTAGCTTCTTCACTGGTCCCAGCTCTTTCCTTGCAGTCTTGCCATCAGAAATGTATATTCCATAGACTCCACTACAGCTCCAAAAGCAACAGTCTCATCAGGTAATAGACAAGGTAATAGCAAGCACTGACAGTAAGAAACAATTGTCCTACCCCTCTTCCTGACAACTCCAAATCCCTACTAAGATTAGCCATCCTTTGTTAATTTTCTGCTTTCTGCCCAGCTACATCCTCAAATTCTCTCCATTCCCTCCAGGCTCCATTTACCACATTCTTATCTACCATCTTGCTATTTTCAAACATCCAAGTGTTTCTGGTTCTCTATAACCACCATAACATGTATGTTGAGAGATTAAATCTATCTTGAACACTACTGTCCTTCCCCCCAGTACAGATGTCACCCCACCAATCCTTAAAAGTCATATTTGCTCTATCAAAATGATCCCACTGAATTTCCAACAATTTTCAACACTTACCAGCCCTTTGACACCTGAATAGAATATGTTCAAGATCTTCTATTCCCTCCCCACATACCTTACAGATGCAATCAACTTGAATATTTCTATGCAACAATTGGGTGTTAGTGCTTAGATAGCCATACCAGCATCTCCAAATGAAGTTTCTGATTTTGTTCTTCACTGGTAGCTTCCAAGTCCTCCTCCAAATTAATTGCATTATGTTGTGACCTGCGCTGGAGCTGGCAACCCTCTGGTTCTGCATCGGCTTCTCAAGCAACGATTTATAGACTTCCTTCACCCTGAAAAGACCCTTTGGGTGCCAGCACCACACCAATTTGTCATATGCATTAGTATGGCTTCTAGGGATAAACAGAATAATCTTGGCTTCCTCAGGAGAGAAAGTTTGCAGAACTAACTCCTCATCCCACTCAATGTTATTAATTGTAAACAGCTGACAGACTTTTTTGACTCTCACATGATCACTGGGAAATTGAACAGTAGGACAAAATGTTTTTGCATAAGGTAACCATGGAGACTCCCAGATATCAATCAATTTACCATTCCCCACCTGATACCTCACCCCCAGCTTTAATGACTGTCTAGCTTGAAGCCAACTCTTCCACAGCCAAGAGTCACTACTTCTAGCTGAGACATCAAAAAACTTTTTATTCCAAAAATACTTCCCCTTCAGGATCCTACTGACTAACAGGTTAGGTTTTGTAATGATTATCCACAGTTGTTTAGACAGTAGAGTCTCATTAAAAGCTTTAAAGTTCCCGAATCCCATACCCCCACAGTCTTTAGGCTTAGACAATTTATCCCACCCACACCAATGAATTTTATTCTTACCCTGATCAGCAGCCCCTGAACCCCACCAAAACCTAGCAATCTCCCTACAAATATTATAACACACATAAACAGGGAGTCTAAAACATGACATGACATATGTGGGTAGGGCTTCTAAAATGGATTTGATAAGAGTTTCCCTCCCAGCCTCAATCAAAAAGCAGTTTTTCCAACTATTCACTCTATTCAGCACATAATCTGTAACATATTGAAATGTACCTTTTTTTGATCTAACAATACCTAGGGGTAACCCTAGGTATTTGGAAGATTTAACCCTAGATATCCCATTCAACACATATCAGATATCATTTTGTAACTCCTCAGAAGCATTTTTTGAAAAGAAAATTGAAGATTTATCAAGGTTCACTTGCTGACCAGAAGCCATACCATGCTGATGAAGAATATTAAGAATCAGTTGGCATGGTGAATATCAGCTTTACAAAACACAATAGAATCATCGGCAAAAAAAAAAAAAAAAATGAGACACAACAGGGGCAAATTTACCAACCTCACACTAGAACAGTTTTAAATTGCAGGCCTGCTTAATCAGATTAGATAAAGCTTCAGAAATCAGAACAAACAGATAGGGAGACAAGGGATCCCCTTGTCTTAACCCTCTACTGGGAATAACGTATCCTAAAACAGAGCCTTGGACATTAAAAGCAAAAGAAGATGAGCACACACAAGCAAGTATCCAAGATATAAATTTGTCACAGAAACCCATTTGAAAAAGCACTTTAGCCAAAAAGTTCCATTCAACTCGGTCATAAGCCTTAGCCATATCAAGTTTTATAGCCATAAACTTATCTTTGCCAGATCTTTTGCAATTTAAGAAATGAATACACTCATTAGCTATAACCACATTATCAAGGATTTGTCTTCCAGGAATAAATGCAGACTGAGCTTGGTCAATGAAACAATGTAACACATATTTAAGCCTATTAGCAAGAATCTTAGCAATGATTCTAGAAACTACAGTGCATAACTGATAGGCCTATGGTCAGAAACAACTTGGGGGTTTTTGTTTTTGGGAATGAGGGTTATAACTGTGTGGTTCAAGTGTTTAGGCATTCTACCATTCTAGAAAAAGTTTTGATCAACAATACATAACTCAGTTTTAATAGAGGGCCAAGCAGTTTGGAAAAAAGCATGAGACATTGCATCATAACCAGGAGCTTTATTTTGATCCATATCCCAAAAAGCAGATTTAAACTCTCTCTCATCAACCTCTCTAACTAGCTTCTTGTTCATATCCTCAGTGATAGACAATGGTACACCTGACAGGTTACAATTGTCTACCAATGGGTTAGAGGATTTAAACAACTCAGCAAAATATCTGCTCCACTTTTCCATAGTATCCTGATTACTATGACAACTTCTGCCATCCCCTTTCACTAGATGATTCAAGCTATTCACATTCCTCCTTCGTTTCACAGTAGCCTGAAAAAATCTAGTATTCCTATCCTCCTCTTTTAACCAGCCCATTCTAGCTTTATGTTGCCAAAACTCTCCTTCTAGCTTATATGCCCTATGCAAGTTATCCCTATAGAAATTACACTCATCCCAATCTCTATGCCCACCCAATTTCTCTAATCGTCCTAACTCCTCCTTGCACCTGTTAAAGATTTTCAAAGCATTGAAATCCTTACTATCCTTCCAAGAGATTAGGGCTTTTTTCACATTTCTGATTCTACCCCCCAAACTATATAAGGCAAGCCCCACAACAGGTTGGACCAAGCCTCCTTCACAACCTCAGAAAATCCCTCCCTCTTGGCCCATCTAGAATCAAAGAAAAATCTTTTTCTGGGGGACTTCATAGTACAATTAGACTCCAAAACAAGTAAATTGTGGCCAGAGGATGCCATAGGAATATTGATGACTCTAGAACTAGGGTTATTCACCAGCCAGTTGGGGAAAACTAGGAACCTATCTAGCTTGACTTCAATGAAGTCAGAGCCCTTTCTCATATTAGACTAAGTAAACCTAGAACCAAAGACAACATGTTCCACTCCCCCAATATTCCTAATAAATTCCCTAAACCCTTTAAAGCTACCATCCTCTCTACAGCTACCTCCTTGTTTCTCCTGGTTATTGAGACTATCATTTAGATCACCTCCCAAGAACCAGGAGTCCCTCCACCTCAAACTATGTCTAATGAGAGAGTACCATTGTTGTTGTCTAATGGCATTATTAGAGTCATCATAAACAAAAATAACCCAAGTACTCTCTTCATGACCCTCTAAAACAAAATGAACTTCAAAACCAAAATCATGACAATTAAATTCCTTAATTTTCACCCTCTAGGACCAGCATAGTAACAGGCCTCCACTTGTCCCACAGGGTTTAATATAGGACCATCTATCACCTACTTGAGCTTCCTACACATTGAAATGACAATTTTTTTTTTTCTTTTTTTTTTTTTAACTTCAGAAAGAAAGACAAAATATGGGGAGTGAGCTCTTATAGTCTCTTTGAACTGGGATATTGTAGAGAGCCCCCCTAAACTTCTACAATTCCACACACATACTTTCATTTAAAAGTTTGGGACCAGTTATGGCTGATTTCCTCTACAACAGACTTAGAATTTTGACTATCAAGTTCATTTTTTTTTTCTTTTTTTTTTCTTTTTTTTTTTCATGATTAAACTGAGTTACGATCATCCTGAGACTCCATACCATCCCTAATTTGCAGATTTCTTTTAGGTTTCATTTGAGTGACCTTAGAATTCTTTGTTTTATCACGAACAACATCAACCACCATTTTTTCATAAATAGACTCATTCCACATTTTAACTTTCTTTTTGAAAGACCTATGTTTTCTCTGTAACACTCTAGCCCCTATGGACCCATGTTGGATATCAATGTCCACAAGTTCAGAAGATATGAGTCTAGATTCCTCAGGAATAGCTTCCAAATATTGAAAACTACTCGAATTTTTACCCCCAACAGGGTCTGGACTAGTCTCTTCTATTG